GACATAAGCCTCTCATGGAGGTGAGTTGTTGTGTCCGTGTAGCAGGACACTTACATCGGTGGGAATAGGCCCTAGAGTCCGGTAAGCCGGCTTCTTTTGGCCTTCTTACCTGCAGTGCAGGCAAGGCCCACCTGTGTTGATGGGCTGTTGGAAATCTTGGCCTTGCCTTTCAAAAACAAAACACAAGCATCCAGGCTGCGGTGTTTTGCAACAAGATGAGAACTAGCTCACTTACATGCCTGTACAGTGCATTCACCGACTGTGCGTTGCTTTCCCCTGCTACTGGTGAGCCCACTAGAGGATAACAGCCTCCTACTGTGCCCAACTAATGGAGCTACTCCCTTAGCTCAGCTAGTGCCGAGCTTTGCGGAAAGTTGCAGTTTCAACCCCTGCAGGTGACCTTGGTGTGGGAGTGGTCATTAGTTACTTCTAGAAATAACCTGCACTAGTATTGTTTTAAGTGTACAAGTTACTATCCCATTTTTCAGAGTCTAACAAGGCTGCACACACATGGATGCGGAGCTCCTGTCACGCCGAGCCGAGCCCGATAAGAGCTTCTACGTTGCTTTTGTAGACAGACAAACTGTACATCTCTCCAGGCCAAGATGTTATAACAGACAGCAGGAGTAAAGGAACTTCCTTTCCCAAGCCCCAGCTACCCCCCACCGCCTCCCCAAACTACATATAGAATCACAGAATGATAGAACTGGAGGAGACCTTGAGAGGTCATCAAGTCCAGTCCCCTGCCCTCACAGCAGGACCACTCATCATAGAGATCCCTGATAGATACCTGTGGGACCTGCTCTTAAATATCTCCAGGGATGGAGATTCCACAATCTCCCTAGGGAGTTTATTACCACCCTGACAGGTCGAAAGTTGATAGCGGGGCTGGTGGTTTTTTCTAGCTCTGCTGAAGCCTTGCTGGGTGACTTTGGGCCCAGCACTTTGGCCAGCATTTTCAAACCCACCTGTTCAAAGTTAATCACCCAAAGACACAGAGCTGTGGACCAGCTTCCTAGGAGGCAAGATTGAAAAGGGTAGGGTGGTTTGAGGAAGCTCTCCAGAGTTCTCACAATTGATGATAACCAATATTTTGGAAGGGACTCTTCAGGGCGTAAGTCACTCTCTAAGGGCATGTCTAGACTACATCCCACTTTCGAAAGAGGGATGTAAATTAGACACATCGAAAGTGCAAATGAAGCGGGGATTTAAATATCCCGTGCTTCATTTGTATAATCGTGTCACTGCGTTCTTTCGAAAACGGGTATTTCAAAAGTGAAACCTCTGTCTAGACTCATGGACTTTAAGGTCAGAAGGGACCGTTATGATCATCTAGTCTGACCCCTTGCACAATGCAGGCCACAGAATCTCACTCACCTCTTCCTAGAATAATCCTCTCACCTATATCTCAGATATTGAAGTCCTCAAAAGGTTTAAAGACCCCAAGATACAGAGAATCCTCCAGCAAGTGATCTGTGCCCCATGCTACAGAGGAAGGTGAAAAACCTCCAAGGCCTCTGCCAATC